AGACTCAAACTTGTAAGTGGGACAGCCTCTATAAAATACATTATGGGGCCGCAGTTTGCACATGTGCAAGGCAGTTTGATCTGTTATGACCGGTTTGGGAAGGTCATGTGTATTGAAAGTAATTTTAGCAATGTTAGTAGGTTTCTTTCGATGACCTCAAGGATGAATGGAGTAGCAATGTACTGATATCACATCCTAGTCTTTGAGGCAGCCGAGCAAGTCTTCTCCACAATCTGAACAATCTTTGGTATCGACTGGGAAATTTGCTGGGGAGATAGAGACAGTTCCGGTACAAGTATTAAGAGTTGGACGAGGTTCTGCAGGGACGGGGGCGTGTGGAAGCGGGAGTGTTGTTGAGGGAGTAGTATTACAGAGAGATGGAGAATAAGGCTGTAAGGTAGTAATAAGGGAGGTTGGGGTGTTTGATGAAGAAGGTTGTAGGGGTAGAGTTGATGAATTTGAGGAAGTTGGGAGGGAAGGGATGTCTTCTGGAGATTGAGTCTCTGCATGGGTGGGTAATGCACTAGTAGGCATTGAGGAGTGGGTAGTAGTTCCAGTGTTTGGAGTCGTGGTCAAAGGAGAGCCTGGGGTCGGGGAGCCAGTGGGGCAAGCCTCATTGCCCCTAATAAGGGGCAATTACATCTTCATTACTGGCCATGGGAAGTATTGATTATGTAAAGGGAAATAAGCAGTCCACCCCCCAGAGCCCTGTACGGGGGTAAGGGCTAGACAACTAAATCGGGAGTACCATGCCCATGGTTCCCACAGGCCATTCAGGACTGGCACAAGGTCAGCCTTTCATCCTTTCAGCACGGCTCTTACACCTTAGGAAGTAGACAGTAGAAGGGACGGAAACAAAAACCTGGAGGGGGAAAAGACCCTGCAAAATTAGTTGAATCGAGGGCTGAGGCCCTAGACTGGAGATCCCTACATTGGATCTCAGTCTCCGTCTCCTAAGCCCCCCCACGACAACAAGAAGCAAGGGATTGTTTTGTTTTTGTTTTTTTCTAACAAATAAAATGTTTTCTTCTGGGATTTCTTACTTTTAAAAGAATTATAGTAATTTTTAAATACTGTATTTGAAGTACATTTTCATGAGTTCCTGATTTGGTGAAAAAGTATGTTTTTCATTATTTTGGACAGAGAACAAACTGCAGTCTCCTTTAAGGTGTGATATAAGTTACAGGTCCATTTTATATGAGGCCACAGATTGCCCATTTATTGTCCATATAGAAAATTACGACTAGAATCTTGAAATTCTTATAGGAACCGTCACCTCCAGGCATTGTTGAACTTTTGGTCTCCAAGAATGCCCTCATATAATTGATTCTGCATATATTGTAACTTATCCTTGATATAGCTTCCTAAACTCACTTTCATTGGAAAAGGAACTTTCGATGCCTTTTTTTTATTAATTAATAAATAATAATAATAATAATAATAATGTTACTACAAAATTGTAAAAATATGTTTAAAACCACTTATAAAACTGAGGGATGAATCCTTGTGTCATTCCAACTTGGTTGATAACCACATCTAAACACACTTAGCCTGGTTGCCAAGGATGTCTAAAATAACTTTGTGCTCATATCATAAGACGAGCTCACCATATAAAAATTTACACCAAATTATAGACAACGGAGCATTTTCACACAAAATAATTACGAGACCAACATGAATGGAACATTCAAATGTAAAGGTCTCATTCACCAAATTTTTACTTTAGCCAATATTTTAATTATTATTATTATTATTTCTATTATTATTATTATTGAAGATGGGGTATGGTTCCCTTTCTTCAGAAAACGAGCAGTGACTAGTGCTTGCCTGTGCTTTTTTCTTTTTTTCCACATGAAAAGTTCAAAATAAAAGTGCCATAGACAACCCCTAGTCACTGTTTTTCTGAAGAGAATTAGCTAAATCCCAACTCTGCAAGTAAAAAATGAACCCTATCAGGATGGTGCCAGAATTTTCTGAAATAATTATTACTAAAGTCTAGCATTTCTGGCAGGGCGTGTGCTGTGTACAGCCAGCCCACCCGCATGCTCGCTAGAGTGATTTATGAAGTGTATACACATTATACATCATTACATCATAACATCCATAGCCATACCCATCACTAAGGGGTTAAAGGCTAAATCTACTACAGTTGGGTTTATTTTACTTGATACTTAGAAAATAGAAATATTTATATGAATAAAAAAAAAAAAAAAAAAATTCTGATCTTTAAAAAACTAAAGCTCTGGCCATCACACATTGTGGAAATAAAAGTCACACAAAAGTTCTGTAAATACCCTGCATATAATGTGACTTTATAACGTCAGTATTTGATGTTCAAAAATGGAATCGATGGACAGCTTTGAAAAAAGAAAGATGAAAATTTTGACTACTTACAAAACCAGGCAGAATGAAAGATATTTTATTAACTGACTAATATTCATTATTGTAATGAATTCCATACATACAAATCTTATCACATTTTCTAATATACGGTATTTACCTAATATTAACAAGCAATATTTAGGAGCTTCAGAGAAAAGCAAATCCATTGGACTTTGCTAGACATGGGTTACCTAAACCAAAGCCCTAATAAAATTAGTATTATGAAAAAAGAATACAGTCTCTAAATTCAAATTTCAATACAATTTACAGACTGCATTAAACTCACAATATTACTCTAGAGGATGCAATTTGATTGCTCAGAATTATAAAACAATTCTTAAGTTTTCCAGTAAACCAGCCATAAAAAGCTGATTCTTCAAAGTCAAAGAAGTACTTATGTTGTCATCAGCTTAGAATGATACAATCTTTAAACCTCCCTCTGAATATTTGTTACTTTGTTTCTTAGACTTAAAAATATATTTTTCCTTAAAATCTGTTCTGATTCACAGAATCATAAAAAACAGATTTGTCCTAATGACCTCTGTAGGACAAAATTGCCTAGATATCAATAAATTATTGAAGATGACATTTGACCTGGTTTAGTAACAAAAATTATTAATCACTTCACATAATCAATATTCCTTTCCTACACAACTTAACTGATAATTGTACTGTTACCTTCCTCCTTGTTGTATTAGCATCAAAATACTGTTAGTACAGGCAATGATGGCATCGTCTGAGAACCACTTCATTTGTCATATATTTGTTTGAGACAAGATACATACTTCAAAGCACTCTGTTTTGATAAAATAAATATAGTGAGATCTTTACAGTTAGCAAACTTAACTACATACACTCCTCTCAGTATAACACAGTTTTACTCAAGTTTAAGTTACTACACACCAAATATTCTGGGTACATTTGCATATCCTCCTAGCTCCTCAGTACACAAAAGTAACAAAAATAACAATTCAAAAAGAATCAAAAAACCTAACTAAAGTTCATAGATACAAACCATTGTGCATAAAACACCTAAATGCAATTATACCATTTGCTGCTCCGCTAACAGAAGTTAGTTTCAATATTTTCCTGTTCAATTTTTTGGTTCACATGACTGATTACCATCAAGATAACAAATAACAAAAAAAAATGTTATCTTACCTGCATACCTACAGATATTTTGAATAGCTGTTTCATAAGTAAAATAGAAGTAGCTGTCAAATCAGTCATTCTAAAGAAATTTCTTTTTTCCTTACAGGCCCCAAAGGTATGTATCAGATGAAGAAAATGAGCAAGATTGTAAATTTACTTTAAATTTATAAGTCTGTTTTTCTTTTCTACTAGCTTTACAGTCAAAACAATAGACAATTCCTTAAATTCTCAATTCAAGACTAAATTTTTTTTTTCTTAATAAAGACTGCAAATAGTTCAAGAAAAACTAAGCCACAGACAACAATTTTTGACGACTGCCATATTTTGCCATTTATCCCACATACAGAAATACATACACACAACATTACTTAAATCAAAAGATTTAAAGCCATTTTCTTATGCATTGCTGCCTGACCTACAGAAGAGCTCCATAAATTGAAACACCAATGCCAAAGGTCTATTTCTTTATACTGCTTTGATGGATAATATAAAACCTTTCCTCTCAATTAAAGCTCCTTATTTTCTCAGGACTGAGCCTGTGAGGTAACTGAAAACTTCTAAGAAAATGGCCTATTTTGCCTGAAATATATAATACACAACTAATTTTCTGTCAAATGTCTTACTTCAAATTGCTAAGATCATTCATTCTGGCAAAAACAAATATATATAATTTACCAGTATAATAATATTGCTAATAACGGTGAATTAAATAGCATGAGCAAAAATGTAATAGTAATAGTACTAATAGTAACATCAGGAATAAAATATAAAAAAGCAGTATTAAGAAACAACTATTTATAATCATAACATAATGAAATAAATTCTGAAACTTTATATGATCTAAAGCAACACACTTTAGGTTATAGTTAAGAGATCTCTCACAGTTTAATGGATGAAAGTAAAAGATTTTCTCTTCATTTGATTTGTTTTTTGGTAGACTAATAAAATCTCTTACTCCAACAAAGTTATAACCAATTATGTGCAAACATGTATGTCTGTTTTGTGCATGTGCAGGTCCAGGTAAATACAATTACAAACACAAAATGACATTCATGTAGATTCACTCTCTCTCTTATTCCTGACAAATACATGTATCCTTTATAATAATTGGTCACTGCCTTTCAACCTAGAGGATCGCATCAAAGATTTACACAAACCTTTGGTAAAGGCAATTGAAGTCCTATATATCTTCCTAGAAATCACAATAAAAATAACAAATATCAAATAACTTTTCCTGACTGATTATGCACAAAAGAAACAATAAGACACAAAGAGAAGAAAGAGAAGAGGTAGGATGACAAGAAGGGATGCTATTTACATGTTACCTGCCTTGGACAACACTTTAGACAGCCTAAAAACCTCATGCTTTATACCAGATGTTTACATGATGTTTCCCATTCCAGTTCACTCCTTATACCATTCTTCTGCCACTGAAGTAGAAATCAGTCGAAATTAAAGTATCCATATCTTGGTTAATTCTTTATTAAATCACTCTCATTGTGAAGAATGAGTTGTCTCCAATTACGTATATCATACACATCTCATCATAAAGCACTTCTTAAATATAACATCTCTTTCCACATGTTCAAAATGTACACCTAAATAGGTATGGTATGTTTTCTAGTCTGCAACCACCGGCAACTCCAGGAAATGTTATTGGCATAAAAAATACACTGGTGTAACACCAAACATTTTGTCTCTAGTCAATACCACTAAAACTTGGATAATATTTAGCTTGAATAGATAACAAACTGTTGGTCATCTGGCGACGGCATCTCCACCTGAACATACTGTTGCGTCGAGTTGTAATCTGTTTCATACTGGGTGTTTACTTGGTGCTCCTCGCATATTATTTCTGAAACAGATCCAAGAATTTTTTTTATTTTTTTTTTTATTATTTTTTTTATGTAATACTAAATAGCAGTTAAAATTAAACAATACTTCATATAATGACTCAAACTATTGAAAACAAACTATTTCTTCCTCAAACAAATACTTTTTTTATTAATACCTAATCCTCTTCTGACTTCCTCTTTACTGGCTGTCTTCTTGATATCTGTCTATACTGTGTTGTGGAAAGGTACATGGATATTACATACTTATCCTCTCATGTCATTTTAGCGAATCATGTTTATGTAATACCATCTTTTCCTCTTCTATCCTTGGTCGTAGACCAAATGTACCATTTAAAAGACTTACAATAATGCATTTTTCTCGAATACCCCCTAACTGCCAGCCAAAATGAGTGACTAGTTTGCCACTGCCAGTCAATATTCAAGTGCTTATACTGCATTAGAATACATAACTACTTTAAGTGGTAGTGGTGCTTCAAGTACCTGCATATGCCACTGGCCTTCTAGGGTTTAAAGCTAGTTATTCCCAAGTTCCTCCCCTTCCACAGACTACCCATTTCATATCAAACATGAAATAAAAAAAGGAGCTATGCCTTCTAACACACTTACTTTGCTTTGGCATGGGTGAGGATGTGTGACTTGAGATTAGTACTCTGAGCAAATTTCTTATTACAGCCATCAAATGGACAAACATACGGCCTATCTCCCGTATGAATCCGTACATGTGTTCGTAGATTGAAATCCAGAGAGAATCTCTTGCCGCATCCCTCAAAAGTACACTGAAAGAGGCGGAATTATGGTTTTCTCATATGTAAACAATGATCATAGTTAATGAATTGGTAACCTGATGAAAGCAAATCAGTAAGATTAAACTATTCTTACTTACTCCAATAAATCATTACATAATCAGAATCAAGAAAATTCTTCTAGAAAAAGGTATAAATGAGAAGAACTTCAAAGAAAAAACATCTATTTTAATCATTCATTCTCATTCATGCATTTTCCTATATTTGTCAAAACAAACATTCATATCTTACATCTCATGATTACCTGAAACGGTTTCTCTCCTGTGTGCACCAGCTGATGTCTTTTAAGTTTAGAAGATTCCACAAAGCTTTCCCACACTCCGCACATACATGTACTCTTGGACCATGTGTATGTAGATGTTTACGCATTGCTGAATTATCACGGAACATTTTGTTGCAACCCTGTAACATAAAAAAAATGAATAAGGATGTACACAGCACATATAAATATATATACATACATTAGACAGGTAGCCAGATAGACAGATGTAGATAAAAAAAAATATTGATAGATATATATAATATTCAATTAGCTAGAGCACTAAAAAGAACTCAGAACAATTGTCACTGACTGAATGAATAATCACCCGAAAACACAAGCTTCAAGACCTCCACAAAAACCGTAGAAAATACACACCTTATGCGGACAGGCAATAGTTCTTGCAATGTCATCGCTACTAGATTTCTTTGGCTTTATCTTCGCAAATTCGGCAAGTTGTTTGGGGTCTGAGAGGTCAACGCCAGGTATACCCGCTAGCTTCTTATTCGAGCCTGCCATGTACTCTGTGTAATCTGGATCTGGTTCTGGGTTACTGAGGTCATCTGAAATCAGAGGAAAGAACGTTAAGGAAACAATGTTCTGCGAAAAGGAAAAGATGTGCTAATACTGAATTTAGAAATGAATTTAGGAAAGAATATTTTATGAAAAGATATGCTAATATTGTAATTACAAATGAATTTAGGAAACAATATTTTGCAAAAGATGTGCTTAAGACTGTAACAACAAATGAGTTTAGGAAACAATATTTTGTGAAGAGATGTGCTAATACTGTAATTACATATGAATTTTATTTGTTATTTATAAATTCCTCTCGATATGAATGTAGCCATTTTACTCATGTTATCATGTTTATTTATAATGTTTTGCTTTGGAGATATAATATTTCAAAGTCTTTATATTCATGACTTTCTGCTTGCCCATACAAAAAAAAAAAAAAATAATAATAATAAATAAATAAAACAAATAATAACAACAGCATTAACAATGACAATAATAATAATAACAACAACAACAATAATAATAATAATAATAATAATAATAATAATAATAACAATAATAATTATAACAAATAATAAAAATAATTATTATAATTAGCACTAAATATTAAAAATAACAAAAATTATAACAAGTGCAATAATAACTAGAAATAGCAGTTATAAAAAATAATAAAAAATAATCATAATAATGATAACAATAAAAAAGAATAATCAAACAATAAAAATTATAATAACAATAACAATCATAATAATTATATATAAAACAATCATAATTATCAATTGTAATAATCATAATTATAATCTAATATATAATACCATGTTTAATTATAATTACATCTAACTATAACAATGATAATAATGATAACAATAATAATAAAAATAATCATCATCATTAGCAGCAGCAGCAGCAGCATAATAATATCAATAATGATAACAATAATGATAATAATAACAATAAAAATAATAAAAATATACTCATAATGATAAAGAGTAAACAATAAAACTATTAATACCAACAATTATAATAAATATAAAGATTATAGCATTATACTCATAAAAACAAATACCATAACAATGATGATAACTACAACAGTAACAATAACAATAACAAGAATTACAATCATTTTAATAATTATAATAACTATCAAAAGTAATATCAATATAAACATTATTATCAGTAACATTCATTATATAACAATAATACAAAAAATAATAACAAGAACAAGAACATCAATGTGAATCAACAATCAACAAGAACACAAACAAAAATATGAACAACATGAATAGGATCACATCATCATCATCATCATTGTTCTCATATCTATAGTTATTATCATAATCCCAATCTTAATCACAATAACAATAAAAATAACAACTAGAAGCACTCAGAGGCCGCATATCTCCGCCAATCAATAGGGCTACAGATGCAATGAAAAATTCCTGGATCTACATCATGATCCGTGTCACTACCATAATATAATGGCATCTAAGTTAGGTTAAGCCACACTTTTTGAGTTATCCTGCTAACAAACAAATAATATCCGGATACTCACCAAAATTTAATGGCATCTAAGTTAGACTAAGACCCATAAAAATGAGTTCATAACTTTTAAAAATTCTAATTTTAAAAATTAGTTAATAACTTTTTTAGTAAACTGCTTACAAACAAAAAAGCAAAAAGACAAAGAAACTAACCAAAATCCAAAAACCTCTTTGGACAAGCATCACATCATCCCAATGTCGATGGGAAGATGATGCATTCCCTTTGGCATTGTTTGGTTAAATGTTTCTGCACAGAGATGGCTCTGCCAATGCTTAGCCACAAAGGCATAAATTAGTAGATCTGGCAACCTCACTTTTCCTTGAAAAAGTAGGAAACTTTTTTTTTTTTACTAATGCCAGCAATATTGACTCTTAATATTGTTGTAAATATTATAATTATTGTATTGTTACCAATATAACTAACAGCAGTAATAAGTACTAGAAAATATTATCGAAAATCATGGAAAAGGGTAAATAGGTGAGACAGGTAGTTCGTGTAATCGGCTCATTAGTGACTTGGTACTTGTGGAGCCATCTGTATGTAAAAACAACTACTAAATTCAACACACAATGCACATGGCATGTACATACATGCCATGCCCGGCAACTTAGGGTTAATATTGATAATAGTTACAATAATAATAACAACATTAAACAAAAAATATCATGATAATAATAATAATAATAATAATAATAATAATAATAATAATAATAATAATAATAATAAATAACAATAATAGTAATAATAATAGTATAATAATAATAAATAATAATAATAATAATAATAATAATAATAATAATAATAATAATAATAATAATAAATAACGACAACAACAACAATAATAACATTAAAATGAAAAAAATATTATGAAGATGATGATAATAGTATTAGTAAATATAATAATAATAATAATAACAATAATATTAACAACTATAACCATAACTATAACAACAACAACAACATAATAATAATAATAACAATAATAATAATAATAACAATAATAATAACAATAACAATAATAACAATACTACTAATACTAACAATACTAACAACAACAACAACAACAATAATAATAATAATAATATTAATGATAAAAATAATAATAACGACAATGATAATAAGAAGAATAAAAAAAATAATAACAGTGATAATAGTAATAACAATGATGATGATACCTAGTAGTAAACCTAATTACAATAACTATATAGCAACAGTAACAATAACAGTGATGATGATGATCCTAATAATAATAATAACAATAATCACTAATAACAATTTGTAGTAGAAGTAGTAGTAGTAATAATGATGATGATAATTATCATCATCAACAACATAATTAATATCATATTAATGCTGATAAATATAACAATTACAACAAAATTAATTACAATAAAAATACTAAGCATAATCATTTTCACAGAAGTTATAATTATATATCATTAATATCCTCATTACACATTATAATTATCATTTTTATCACATAACAGAAATAGAAAAAAGACTAAGGAAAAAATAAATGGAAATGAAAATGGAAACAAATAAAGCAAAATAAATGAAAAGTATATATCATCTGAAATA